TGTGAGTTTACGAGAACTACCTGTGTACAGATGAATGTCTGTGTGAGCCTGTGGCAACAAAGGACCATGTCCCTCTGCTACAGTACCTATGGATCTCTCTAAAGTGATGTTTCTGTGTATTCTGTATTAAGAGATTAACTCTGCTTATGGTGCTACTAAAGACAAACAAGTCCCAGTTTTACTATCAACATGCCACACGGACCCTAGTTTATGAGGTCCCCCCCAGAGCTGTACTAATTAAGAAAATATTCCTGGAGACTGAGCTCACACCACTGTCTTGGTAAGCAAGCACAGTATCTCTATGCTGCCACAACTATCTTGGGTAACAATTTCCCACATGGAGACTGGCTTCACTGTCAACATGTTTATGATAACAATGAATACAGAAGATATCTCTGAAGGTCCACCACAGCCTCTAAAGCAGAGCTTCCCAAACTATTAATGTTAGTGACACACTTTTGAGATAAGCATAATTATTAGACAAATTAATTCAGTCTCCCAACAAACCAGAGGTTAAACTAACCCCTTATAAAAGATATGGACTCACACATAAATTATTTAATGCTTTATCTTCACACAACACACCTCTGACACAATTTGGAAAGCTCTGCTCTAAAGATCTGAGCACTGGTGAGTTATAAACAGAAATGCACCTAGCACAGATTTGGACAAACAGATTACCTTTACTGAATTCAATATGCAGAATACAACCAGAACACTCTCAGATGTGACTAGCAGAACCATGTATCATTGTTCTGGAAAACATATGGTAGGACAGTCTTAATGATGGTATGACAGTCTTAATGATGATATGACAGTCTTAATAATGGTATGACAGTCTTAATGATGGAATGACAGTCTTAATGATGGTATGACAGTCCTAATGAGATGTGGGGATGAGAATTACCATGCAAAGAACCTTAACTTTGTAAGAGAAAGTATTCAGCAAGATGTCGGGATGCGAATGAACATACAATGAAAATTCATTTTTATGAGAGACAGTGTTTAGTGAGATGTGGGATGTGAGTTAATATTCACTGGTATAAAAGTCAGACTGAAATGTGGGTAAATGAAACAACAGCAGCAAATACTACATACAATAACTTGAGGCCTTTTTGTAGGACAATGCAGACAACTACACGAAAACGCAGGCAATAATCCTCTGAAATAACAGGCTTGTGCTAGTATCTATAATTTCAAAAGAATGACGACGGTATACATAATTTTAAATAAAAGGCAAATGAGATGAATATCCTCAAGAGCAAGAATATTTGTACACACAAGTAAGTACTTTTTCCTCAACAATGAGCCTGAAACATGGCAGAGTCTTAGAATTCTTGTAACAGAAGAACTGTCACATGGTTGTTGCAAGTTTGTGAAACATTATATTTATACAGACACATCATGTACGGCACATGTTTCTATTGTAGCTGTGACAGAACTGCCACTGGTATAGCTGTCTGTGTTTACCATGTTTGTGGTGTCAGCCTGAGGATTGAGGGCCTCACTGGCTAGTTAATTTGTTAATGCTGACATCAAATGATTGAATCAAAGTGGATATAGCAATTCCTAATGTAACAAGTGGGAAACAATCAGTGCCAAGGCAAAACTACGACAGTGGGAAAAAACTTTACATTTTTTTTTCCTATTTTATGTTGCCCTATAACCAGCATTCCCAAATGAGGCCACGTACAGGATATCTTCTGGCAAACCATGTGGTAACAGTCGACTGCCATTGTATAAGACACACACTGCTTTTAGACCTACAGCTATGGAAAATTAGTGTGTCTTTTACTTGGAGAAATATGGTAATTTCAAACTTCATTCAGCAAAACCAACGAAACAGGATATTATCCGTTTCTTTTCCCTTGGAATTGTTTATCATGTTGCTGTGCAGAAGAAAATGATATATACACAAATGTACACACAATGATGCAATCGTTTGATTGTCTGTAATCTGCTTCATCAAATTTGTTAATTCTAGACCCGTAGTTTGATCTGCTTCACACTACAGCTGACTATCACAAGAACTGCAAAACAAAACATGGACAAACAGACTCAGATGTCGCCCACCTCATACAAGTAAACAGTTCAAATGTCGCCCACCTCATACAAGTAAACAGCTCAGATGTCACCCACCTCATACAAGTAAACAGCTTAGATGTGATTCCTAAACAGTTGCTCTGAGAGAACAGAATCACAGACATCTAAAGTCTCATAACAAAAAATCCATGTAACTATCCCTATGTTCATTAGCTGATTCAAAGACAGGACTGTCTTCCATCACAAATAGCTGAACATTATCTCATTCTGTCTGAATTATTAGTTAGCTCCTTCTTCCCTACTGTGTTTTTTTTTCCAAAATCTTTCAATTCAAACAAGAGCCGTTTTAAACTAGACCATCTCGAGGATAAAAAAGAGTTAAATACAAGCTGGCACCGAAACAGTGTAGCCCCAGTGTACCTTTGCTGTCATCAACATTCGTCCTACAAAGAATGGAACAGCAGCTTAGAAAAACTTCAACAAAAACATGGAACTCTAAATTATTTAGTTTTAAATCCAAATTAAGTATTTTTAATTCTAATGTCATTTCAATTTGACATATAAAAGTGAAGTCTGGAGAACCACTATAGACTTGAAATGAAAAGTTAAATGCATTTAAAAATAAAATCAATTCACATTAAACAGGATAAACTGAAGAAAGGTGAAGAAACAAGAGAAATGTCCAGACCACCACTTGTATCAATAGATATAAGACAAAGAAGATTAATTCAGGACGTCCCAGGCAGAAGCAGACACAGAATTACCAAATGGGAACTGAAATGGGTCATTAATTTTCAAATTCATAAGAGGAAATCATTGAAAACTGTTCTAATCATTATCTTTATTCTAAAAGAAAAACAAACAAACCCCTGAGACAAACATTGTTAGGACAGAACAAAAGGTCCTGCACTAGATTACATCCAACAAGATTACATAGAATAGAACACAATGAAGGGCTAGACTGTGAGCCCTCTGAACAATTAATGGCACAACTGATGATGATGAATAAAGGGCACCAGATACAAGGGGGTGTTCAGAAAGTAATGCACCACATCTGTTTCTGTCAGCAGCTAATCATGAAGACAGAAGCAGGCAAAGCTTCAAATATGGCATGTGCTCATTGTGTGTACCCCAACCTGCCAAACAACATGGCTGCCCTAAAATGTTGAAATTGAGCCTGTTAACAACTTGCGTTAAAAGCTGTGAATTCTGACAGAATTTCTCGCTGCAAAGAAGCAAACTGATGTGTATGGAAGTTTTGCAGTCAACAGCAGTACAGTCAGTCGCTGGGTTCAGAGAATCAAAGAATTAGGAATTGGAGATATACAGGTGCTTGATGGGCCACACTGCGGACATCCTGTCACAGCCATCAACACAGAGATGCTGAAATGTGCTGAGGGAATTATTCTTACTGATGGTGTATCACTATCAACAACTGACCCTACAGCTGTCAGTGAAGAAACGGCTACATGATCAGGACAAAATCTGCTACATGCTAGGAATACATGCACATGTTTGCACTTACCTACAGCAGTACAAGTTGTGGCTGATTATGCTAAATAATACAAATCTTTACACGACGTATCCTTGTATATTCTGTACACATTTTATACTTTTTTTTTAAATAAACAGCTCCCGATAAAAATAACTATATGGTACATTACATTTTGAACTCGCAATAGCAATCTTCATTTATGACTCGAAGAAACCATTTTAAAAAGTTAATTACAATAAATGCAATAAATACAAAACTGTAAAACAAAAAACATTCTGAAATTAAACAGTAAATAAATATGGCAGATAGATTCCATGAATCAGTATATATTGCTCATGCTAGTGAAATCAACCCTGTCACAGTGTGAATATTCGTGCAGCTAACAGTCACATCTAAACAAACAGTCACACACTGTCATATCTGAACAGTCATACACTGTCATATCTGAACAGTCATGCACTGTTATATCTTAACAGTCATACACTGTTATATCTGAAGAAACAGTCACATATAGTCATTCTAGAACTATAGTGAGCTGTCTATTTCAGTCATAAGTTATTCTGGATCTGCAATGAATTGTTATCCCACAGTCATTCTGGAACTACAATGAACCGTCTATCTCAGTCATTCTGGAAGTAAATTCACTATCCCACAGTCACACACATTCATTCTGAAACTAGAGTGAATTACCTATCTCACAGTCACTCACATTCATTCTAGAACTACAGTGAACTGTCTATCACATAGTCATTCTGGAACTAGAGTGAATTCACTATCTCACAGTCATTCCAGAACTAGAGTGAATTCACTATCTTACAGTCACACACATTCATTCTGGAACTACAGTGAATTGCCTATCTCACAGTCACACAGAGACATTCTGGAACTACAGTAAATTGGCTATCTCACAGTCACACAGTCATTCTGGAACAACAGTGAACTGCCTATCTCACAGTCACACACAGTCATTCTGGAACTACACTGAGCTATTTATTTCAGTCACACAAATTCTGGAACCACAATGAATTGTCTATCTCTACTTCACCAAAAGAAACAACATATGCCACATGACACAGACACAGAAGGTAAAGCTTCTAAAGTGTTAAACAATAACAACACAAGCCAGTAAAAGAATCACAAGCCATTAGGTTTTCCTCTGTCACTTCACAGACTGCATTCCCTACAATGGTAAAATACTGTAAAACTATATAATATTACACTGCTGTAAATGTATCGCTTCACATCAGGATGATATACACAAAATAGCTTCACTTGTGTACTAGTTGCTGATGAAAGCTTGTTTTTTGGATGCCTTTGTAATGTTATTGACAGGTATCTCCATTTTCACATCTGCTGATCTAATCCCTGACAATTAGAGGCTGGATGGGTCAAATTCCCACAAGTGAACAAGCAGTATGATTCAACATTGCACATCCAAGGAGACACCTGACAGTTTCAGCATCTACAAGGGGAATCGTTTGCTGCGGATGTAGCAGAACTGAGCAATTGCTGCCACCATTGCCAGAATCTGGGGAGTAGAGAAAGAAATGAAACCACTATAAATAATGGTGTACAAGACAACATGGCGTACAAGCCAACCTCAAGTTTTTCAAGCTCAAAACTATAAGTCAGCTCTTCACCTACCAAATAGGTTGACACCCAGATATCAGTTGGCTATAATCGGAACAAAACTCAGGCCTATGGGTAAATAAAGTTGGTCTACAGTATATTTATAGAATTTGCCAAAATTACAGTCACACTATTTACCTGTTTTCAGAGACACTAACTGTAATATCCTTCTATAGGCACTGTATAGCAAACAAACTACAAAACACGCACACACGCAAACACACCAGTAGGTACTGTGCACTGTGTGGGTATAACTTAGAACACACTTAAGGGATGTGTGGTGCGATTTTGTGGCAAAATCTGAGGAATGTGTTTACATAAAAACTGTCATAAAATCTTTCAAAAAAATGTGACATCTCAAATTCAGTGGATGTGGGAAGAAAGTGAGGAGGGTGAAAGTGAAGATTCCCCCAGATGAAGCAGGAAAGCCTAGTTTTCCTTACATCAGGTGATGAAGGGCACTGATACAGATGAATGGTCAAGTCTTCCTTACATCAAGTGATGAAGGGCACTGATACAGATGAATGGTCAAGTCTTCCTTACATCAGGTGATGAAGGGCACTGATACAGATGAATGGTCAAGTCTTCCTTACATCAGGTGATGAAGGGCACTGATACAGATGAATGGTCAAGTCTTCCTTACATCAGGTGATGAAGGGCACTGATACAGATGAATGGTCAGTGTTTTCATTGAGTGTATCAGTTCTTGGATACAATGTTGGCTGTGGTGTTGACAGAATACTGAACGTGTGTTACTATTTTATTATCTTAGATTAATGTTTGTGCTGATATGTTAAACATGTTCACCAAACACAAGTTTTGGTGGGATAATCTGTGGCAGCCTGCTGCAGGTACAAGAAGTAGGAAACAGCCATGTCCCATTTGTTTACAACAAGTGGTAAAGGTTACTCATTACTTGTTATACACATCGACTCGGGATGTACCAAATAGGTGATTATCACAAATACGAATAACGGGACCAACTATTCGGCCTAATACGAATAGTGTATAATGTATTAAATAGATCTAACAAAATTTTTTTTTTAAACACATTCATAATGTCAAATGTACGCTGAACTTTTACTTCACAAAATGTAGTACAGAATAGTCTTCTTCTTCTTCAGCATTCTGAGCCCTTGAGGTTCACTGCTTCAGATTTCACTCGCCTCCAATCATCTCTCTGGTTCATCTTCTCTTTCCAGTTTGTGACACCAATTGTTTGCAGGTTTGTCTGGACATTATCTCTCCATTGTCCTCTTGATCTGCCTCGTGGTCTACGACCATTCGTCTCCCTTGTGTATACAGTTTTTATTTCTCTTGTCATCTAACATTATTTTAAGATGCCCCAACCATTTCAGTCTATTAGCTCTCACGATGCCAGTGATCAATGGTGATAAACAGATTATGAATTTCATTGTTGCTCCTCACTCTCCATTCCCCACTGTTTGCATCTTTGATGGGTCCAAAGATTCGTCGTAAGACTGTTTAAAAAAAAGGCTTCATCTCTTTAGGTTGTGTTCCAAGTTTCAGAACTATATAAAATGACTGGTCTTATCAACGTTTTATATATCTTGGTTTTGCGAGACAGACACTTTGACTTTAGCAGATGTTAAAGGGCATAGTATACTTTATTTCCAGATTGTATAATAGATTGTATTTCTTCTCAGATCATGTATTATAGATGCAGCTATGAAGACTGCTGGTTTTGTTGGATCAAATTTTTAGGGGAATCATTAGTTTCACAGTGACAATGGTGAAGAATTAATCATTCTTACCGACTCGATGCTAATGTTGCTATTCACCTGGAGATCCCTTGAACTGCAGTTGACTCTGCAACACGTGTATTATTAAAATACACAAGTAGCCGTAATTGTGAGGTGGAATACTGGTCCAAGGGTCTTGGGTTCGAACCCACACTGCAGCATATTTTTTTAAACAAATAATTTTGGTTCCTGAGCGACCCAACCTAAAAGGGGCCCTAGAATATGTACTGGGAAGTAAAGATGGCCATGAGTATGTCAAACACATCCCCCACCATTGGCGATCGGTCTATAAAGACATGGGTCTAGCACCAAATGCCCAAAGTGCCAGTGCAGTTAAAAAGGTCCTGTTCTTTCACATGTTATTAATGCATACAGATGCAAACACCTAAACACACACACATTTTGTGAAGACTTTGCTGGCTGTGTACAACTTCAAAGAATGAATTATTACCTAATCTTTTCAAACAGGTTTATCCCTTTCTTGATCATGAGTTAGCTCAGCCTAGAACCAACATCACAGCACTCAGGACCTTTCCATGAGCAATTCCCCTCTTCAGCAGCCAGCACAATTCTGATCGTACCAGTAACAGTCTGACTGTATGTCTGCCTTGTCTTTCTTCTGAGTGTTGAGTGTCGGCCAGATCATCTGCTCACCAATTAATGCAGACCAGCCAGTCTATCATCCTGTTTTTTTCAATCAAAACACACGTGAATGCCCTGCAGAAAATATTCAGAGAACACTAACTACCTAGGATGGATCTCTAAAGCGATGCTTGCCATTCCGCAAGGAGCATGCTGTCTCTACTCAACTATGTTAATCACTCAACAACACCTGAACAGAAACAACAAGAAAGAAACACAACCACCCACCTGTACAGAGCCGACTGTGATTCCACTGACCCCTAGAATGTACATGTTTCTCATGAACCAATATTCCATTTCTTCAATGCAACCCTGAAATACGTCATATTACATATCAAATAATATTGATGTCAATGAATTTCTTAGATTATACTGAAACTGGTTGTAAACTCTGGCAGAAAGTTGTGTTTGTCGGTCCATTTCTAAACTTTGTGGTCTTGTTACAGAACTTGAGTTTTGCATCCATTTCACAGACCTAGCTTATCTATATGCAGACTGTTGGCTCCTTGCCTCTCAGGCAAAGGCATTCCAACTTTAAAGGAAACTCCCATAATTAGTCTCCTTGAACAACATGCTTGTTAGGGAGGCAGTGGGTCTATTCCCCCCCCCCCACCTTCCAGTGAAGCTTGCCACTCTGCTCAAAGCATTCCTGTCTTCACCTTTCTCAGCATGCTTTCAAAGTCGTTACAATTATGATATGTGTTTGCATCTTGTTCTCTAGCCAACGGAGAGCTGCAGTTACCGCCTCCATTTTCATGCTAGATGTTGTAGTGTCATATGCTAGGCTGTCTTGCACTAAGGATTTTCCATTGGCTTTTGATACGAACCTCCGGGCACTTCTCTTTCCTCTCAACACCAAATCATCTGTATTGATAATCAGATCACATGGGCATGAATTGTCATGAATCAACAGTTGGATCCACCTCCATAGCACCTGCTGGCCACTCTCTGCACACCTGACCCAATGTGATCATATAAGCAGTAATATCATGTTTATTCCGGCCACCCTTCTTCTCTGACAGAAATCTTGGCAGCTCATTTTATGAGGTAGGATGAACTCAAGGATCTTCAACTATATTGCCTCACAGTTGTTTTTGATTCTTTTCCTACTAATTCACCCTTAAAGGGCAGTTTGGCACGCTGTATTGTGGTTGAAAGCTAGGCTGCAAGATCTGTGCTTTTCGGCCCATCACATCCAATTTCATCCTGTTGGGACATGCTTGTTAAGGAACAGTGGGTCTAATCCCCCACCCCTTCCCCATCATCCGGACAGGGAACCCAACAGGAAGTGTTGTGTATAAAATGCCGAGCCTTCCAAGTCTAAGGCCAACAAGTTCAAACTGCAAAACATTTCCCAGTAGTCAGACAACAAAAGACTGTTCTCATGGCTTTCAGGCAGATACTGGTACAAGAGTTGCACTGAGGAAGAGATGGGAGCCTCACACGGTGATATTCCCAGTTATCAGTGGATACATTCCAGCCAATTTCCACACAGAATCCCATCAATCAACACCAACTTACCCTCTGGTACCATAAAGTAGTGTCACCATAAATAACCACACAGTTAAGCAGAGAATTACACAGAATCCCATCAATCAACATTAACTTACCCTTTGGTACCATAAAGTAGTGTCACCATAACCACAGTTAGGTGAAGGATTAATACAGCAAGATTCAGGAACTCGTTGCTCCTCGGGCCAAGCCTGAATGTTGTACCAGTCAGTATGGTTGTCCACACCACAACACTGAAGCTGTATTGTTGGGACAGGGAACAATGTTTACAAAATGAAGTCAAGGAAAGCACATTCAAGGTTTACAATATCACATGTTTCAAAAACAAAGCAAAAAAGAACACAGCTTAGATAATAATGAGACTATTAATAAAAAAGATATCTAGCAAGAAGCTGAGGAATGGCTGGCTAAATGGTTAGAATCCTTGGCTCTCCTTTGGACGATCTGGATTCAAATCCTCAGTGAGGTGATAGCACTTACTTCTGTTGGATGCACATTTAAAACATACCAGCTGAAACAGTTCATGCTACTGTGCTAGTCATGTGGCCCTAGATAACCAGACTCCAGACCTTACAATGCCATATAACCAAGGCAAATACAAGCAGTAAAAGGATCCTTTTCCACATCATCAGGTGTGGTGGGCATATAGGGCTAGACCTATATTTTATAAACCAATCAACACTCGGTGGGTGATGCGGTCAACATCTTTGCTTCCTAAGAATTGACCTGGTACTCATTAAAGGCCGGGTCGACCTGGAAGCAAAAGTCATTTTTTTTAAAAAAGTCAGACCTTGTTGGAGTCTGAGCCCTTAACCTTCAGATCCACAGGTGAGAAACACTACACCACGTTAGCTCCCCAAAACAAGCAGTATGCTTGTTTTTGTTGTTGTTTTTGAATGACATTTTGAATTTTGAATGACATTTTGAATGACCAAACAGAACACAAACACAAAGTGAATATCAGGAAGAAATACGATAGTGTAAAATAAACCAACACTACTACTAAGGGTTGCATTGCAAATGACAATGCTGATTATGGTGAAATAGAGACAATGAGAAACCAAATCAATAAAGATAAATCACACAGTGATAAAACCAGTGAATTTAAACATTTAAAGTTAATCTTTTCAATCTCTAACTTAGAAGGAAGAATAAATAAATCAGCATGCAACATGCAAAAACAAACGAGTTACTGGGACAACTAGCATCAAACTGATACACAGTAGGGCAACTATCTAGCAAGGCAAATCTAATAAGAACTATTTGTTTGACCAACTTTATGCTACGTGTCAAACACGGATCCTCACTAGAACTGTTCTTCTGTCTTTTTTTTCTCCTTTTGTTCTACTACATATGCCACAAAGCATGTAGTTTCCTGTCTTTTGTTAGCTGCATAGCTTGTGTTAATGTTATATTGCGTTCCTCTAGTGTATCTTTTACTCCCTCCTGTCACGAAACCACTATGAGCCCTATGCTCAAAAAGTTGAGAATCATTGTGTTGTACAATTTCATTATGCAATCTTGTGATATCCTATGGAGACCATCGTAGCACATTCAGAATTCTATACATCCCCTGGGTTAGCAATAAAATCTGTCATTATTCGGAATAAATTGCAGATATACCCGGACTGAAAATAAACCTTGGGAGAAAAAGTTTACATTAAAAATCGACTGATATGCAAAGGACCCTATCAGTATAATGGGTGAAGAGCATATGTGTGGCTGACATGGAAACGGGAGCTAATGTCTGCTGCTAACTGTCGACTATACGTAACGAGGCATTCTGGTTCACATGGCTGAGGAGGATGGATTTCCGATTGTGTATGGTTTTTAACTATATTTCATGTTTCTTCATGGATTTGGTTCAATCAAACATGCAGGTAAGATTGCTATTTAATCATTGGATCATTTGGCAGATGTGTCACAGCATAATCAGGTGGGTAAGTGTGATACTTGGCTTGGAAACTGTTGGACAACTGTTCCCCACCTTGATGGCAAAGGATGACCATTGGCCATTTTTTAACAATTCTTCTCGGCTACTTCTTTGGTTTGACTTAGAACAAGAAATTTAGACTGCTCTTTCTTGAATGGCTTGACTTGTCTGGAAGTCATCAATCAACGGAGCATACTGATTTTATTTTGTTATTTCGGCGAGAAGAGGAGGAGGCTTTGGAAAAGTATGGTTCGTGAGGGGACTGCCTTTAATCTTAATGACTGTCTTATCCTTTCTCCTACCACTAAATGCCTTTACTTATCATGCTTGGAATGTCATTACCAGTACCGATATCTTTGCTCAAGAATGCACATGCTTGATCTACTGCTATAAGCCATACCTGTGTCTGCTCATCTGTCTGTGGAACTCATGAATCTAATTGCCTGACTATATCTGGGTTCACTTCTGTACCTACTCTTCTCTTTGTCTCAGCATATACAGATTATACATGATATGTGGCTACAGATATTTTTGACTATGTTTTCCAAGGAATTACCTCCTTGTTTGAAAAGTCAGAATTTCCAACAAAAACTCACACCAAACCAGCCTCAACATCATTGGCAATATGAGGTCGTTATTGCCAGGCAACACATAAACATCATATACCCTTATGTGAAAGAGGTGTCTTCACATATATATGTTGTACTTGTGATATCAGGAATCTCGTCCACTGATCATCTTCTTACGTATGCCGTACCTATCCTAGTGATGATTACTTCAATGCTTTGGTATTCATACCTATGCAGTACTTGCACCCGCTGAGATCCTGGCATTACTTCGTCACGGTCAGGCTATGCAGTACTTACGATACTCATATCATCAACTCTTTTGAATGTATTTGAGTGGGTACTGCCAACAACCATGATCTTCGTTGTGAATCGTGATTGTAAACTGTGCATCTATTCTGATTGACATTGCTCAGCTCAGGAGCTTACTTCAGTCCATTCATTAAGTCTCTGACATGGAAGGGAATTCTGTAAGGCATTATTAGTGGTATGGAGAATGGTTCCTAAGAGAGGAAGAAAAATCTAGTTCTTCGAGATATTAGAAGGCTGGATTCCTGCCAAAAACTTTGGTATTATCAGCATCAATGGATGCCTATAGTATTCCAATGGCAACTCTTGAATAGTCTTGAATCACACTATTGTTGTTACCATCAAGTAGTTTGCTGAACTTTTAATGGGACAGAGTCACTGTTTGGACACTGTCTACTCACTGCTATACTCAGTGTCAAGAAAAGATTATACTCCTGAGCTGCTGCCATGGAATGCTTCCTACTTTAACCATATAACTGGTTTATCTACCCAGTATCAAGTTACCTTACACTGCATACTAACTCTTTATGTTCAGGTCGAGTGTAAATTTTCATCATCTAACAGTAGTGACAAAGTATGGTTGGGGTACGGTGAACAATTAGGAGGAAGTTAGCATTAGGCACAGTGAACAGTGATGATGAATTTGAACTTGTTAATCAACATAGAGCTGGTACTATTGGCCACTGGATGCTGGGGTTCATTGTGTCCGTATTCCATAGTTGTGGATTTCAAGCTGTACGATAGACATGGCCAATAAGACACCTTTTCTTTGGGGGTGCCTAGTTGACCATGTTCTTAGTGCATTGGTATTCATGGCGAGGCGCATGGAGGTGACAAGTTCAATTCCTGGCACGATAACTATAGCTTTCGATTTTTATGTTGTCTAGTGTGTTCTTCTATCTTTCTACTTCTTTCTATGAGTGCGGATCAATGCACTTTCTGTTACTTGATTACTTTATAATATTGTGAGGAGAGGAACTGAGCACCTTTGGATATGTCTGGAGTGCAATGATGATACACCCAACTAACTAACTAACTAACTAACTAACTAACTAACCAACCATCTAGCTAGCTAACTAACTAACTAACTTACTAACTAACGGACCAGCTGAACACTTACATCCTGCTGTAGAGTATCTAGTGTCTGAGACCAACCCTTGGAGTCACGATCGTACAATGAGACGTTCTGAGCCTGTAGTTCTATCTGAATTTCTGTTCTATATTCATATCTGATGCCTCCTGTGATCTCATTGTGAATGATGTCTCTTACCTAATGGAAACATTACAAATCAGTTTCAAATGGGATACAATCATTAAATGGCACTCAACAGATGTCATCAACATCATGCTGACCACATTTACTTCCCCAGACATTGATGTTTTAGACTGAGTTGACATGCATGCCAAGATCAATTATAAATGTTTTGCCTCGATTTGAATTCAAACTCAAGACTCTTGAGCTGACAGGCATGTGTCAAGCCTCTGTGCTAAAGTGATTTTCAACCAGGCTGTAAGTTTACAATGAATAAAATTAAATACAATCTTCGACTAGGCAGCTAAAGAGGGGGAAAGGAATAAAACACACCAAAATAACACTGTATGTTTTGATCAGATTAATTAGCAAAGATTAAAACAAGAAGAAAAAGAACCTTAAATATCATGCCCCCAAATGAGGCAGTTTGGTGAAGTACTCCCTAATTACCTTGTGCTGTTTACAATGATGATCAAGCTGGCTGTTGTATTCTTATACTGTGACACAGTAGTTGACTTAATTGAAGACACAAATTCTAGCTAGCACTATGAAATTTTAGCAAAGTCAAGATCTTCTAAATTTCCAATCTAATGGAAAAAAAATTCCAAACTTCGTACTCGTTGAGCCGCCCAAGGGCCTACTATACTGAGGACTCGTTCTTTGCTGTTTTTTATGAATTTTGTTGTTTATTTGTGCCGATCAGTTTCGCCTGAGTTTCATTTCTCTGCTTCTATCATGTCAGCGTGATCTGGCTTGGAGGGTTCTGTGCTTTTTATTAGCTGTTTTGTGGGTTGGATCTGGCAGCCCTAAAAAGGACTGCCAGGTTTGCCTGGGTCGACCTGGAACAGATGGGTGGGATGATCTTCTAGAATTTTGTCAGACCATTTTATACTCATATTTGTGTTGTTTGTGCATTTCCGCATGACCCAATCGATTGCTGTTCCAAAGAGCATCGGCCATAGGACACAGCCTTGTTTCACTGCTGTTTCCACTGGGAACCAGTCAGAGCTGCTGGATTCTGTTCTTACACTGCAACATGTTTCATTGAAGAATTTAATTTTTTAACAAATTGTCAAATACCTGGAAATCAAAGATATTTAGCCAACACAAAAAAATTAATATCTTCAACTCCTGTGTGATTCCAATGCTAACTTATAGATGTGAGAGTTGGAAAGCAACGGTAGCTTTAGATCCAAAAAATTTGACATTTTAGAGAACATCTCCACTAGATAGATTTCATATCCTATATGGTGGCGCGGTGATTTATGTCACAGGCGTGAGGGGAAGTTAAGTCCAACATGATGTGTATAAGGAGATTCTCCGTACGTCACTCGGGCGCCAGTCCTTTACTATCCTGGTTGTACGAAACCTCACGCAAGACCCCTACAGCACGTCCTCGTCGTGCGCCACGGATAATGTCTCAAATGAGCATTAACAGAGCTGTCAGGGGATCTCGGAGTTCGGCGGCCCCCAGAGGTGATGTGTCCTTGTGGCTCTCATCAGCCCGCCCCCAAACGCTTGGGTGAAAAATGTTATCAAAACTCATTAGGAACATGAGTAGGTTTGCCAAACGTCCAGCCAAAATTACAACCCTTGGTTAAAAGACTGCGGAGTAAAGAGAGCATCGTTCACTGCACATCCTCTGTTAACCCTCAGTGTCGTCGTCAGCGCACTGAGGTACACCACAACAGCAACCATCCATAGGCTGGCCATCCTTGTACATCCTCGGTTAACCCTCAGTGTCGTCGTCACCGCGCTGAGGTACACCACAACAGCAACCATCCATAGGCTGGCCATTCATGTACATCCTCGGTTAACCCTCAGTGTCGTCGTCACCGCGCTGAGGTACACCATAACAGCAACCATCCATCGGATGGCTAAGCCTAAATGTCCGACAAAACTAGATCATACGGATCAAAATCTGACCATCAAAACTTGTATTGAACTGAAAAAGACTGAATGTCCACACCCAAAGACCCCACTCGCCCGAGTGTGGGACAAAACTGATAACGATATGCCTGATGCAGGATGTAAAATTCTGTCGGGCTAACGGCTCGTCAAAGAAATCTAACGTGCGAAGAAAAAAGAATGTACCTATCTGTGTGGTCACAAAAGTCCAAAACCCACGGGCTGCTCCCCGCTGACTTCCAGAGGGCGCAGCCCCTGTCGAGCGGGAGGCCTGATACGGTTGTGAGGTTAAGCAGGCATGTGCAGGACGTGACGATTCCTTGGGTGAGCCCAGAAACAGAGCGCCATGTGCCGGCTCTGCATGCATGGAAGCCTCCTTGGATGGCGGGGAATGCCCATGATCTGCCCCTGCCTTCCCTTGAGGGCTAACTGTTCCACAGGGGGCTGCCCCAAAGGGGTACTCCAGGGGCAATACCTGCGGCGAAGGAGACAAAGTGGACACCACACAAGTCAGGCAACGTCTCGACCCACACAAAACAATGGCCACAGTCACCCTAGAAATAGGCCTGACGTCTTCCTTCGAAGTCGGAGTACAGCTGCCCATGAGGCAGGGAAATAAAAAACGGTTGTACACGCAAAAATCAGGTCCAGGTGAAAGCCAAAAGTCCAAGTGGACGATTATCCTGGACCTTCCACTGGAATTCACAGCCGGTGATCGATAAAAAAAAAAAAAAAAATATCCTATACGCAAATAAGACAAGAGACCAAAACAAGATAATGTTTCCAATTTAATCAAAAACCACTGCTGTTAGTTCCTGGCCTCTCAAGCAGATGTACTCTGACTTCGAAGGTAACCTCCCTAATTATTTTTTTTTTTAACTACATGTTTCTTGGGTAGCCATGAGTATATCATTTTTTCCATTAAAGTGGCGCCCAAGAACATTTAGCAGGAAGGTTTCCGGTTTGAATCCACAAGTCTAATTTGTGTCCCTTTTCAAAATGACCTTAGCCAACCCAGCCTAAAATGGGTACCAGGTAATATTCTGGGAAGTAAATGCAGCCGCCATGATATTAACCATATCACTGACAGAATGCTGACTGGTGTATTCAAATATGACTCGAGCATCCTAAACCTGATGTGTCAATGGCGTTAAAAAGGCCCTTCACTTTATTTCTATATTCTCATACTACCACAGTGGCACAGAAACACGGCCCACAACCTTTCTTAAGCACAATTCAGCTGACAACAACGCCAAAGCTATCGTAAACACAAAAGACAAAAACAATCAAACCAACCTGATCTTTCATGACAAAGCCTAGAGTGCCTGCAGTAATTTCCAGTGCAAACACCAACAGCACCAGCACAAAGTACTGCAAACATAACAACAGAGAATAGCAATCACTTACAGCTTGAACTACAATGTGAATGCAAAGTGTAGGAGACTTCCGATAGTACCAAGTCACAGTTTTTTATGTTGTAATCTGCTTGTGATCACCTTCATTCAGTAGGATTTTTCATACAGGTATTTGGATACTATAAAATGTGTTTGTTGCACTACTGTGTGTTGCTGTTTATGGCTTCATTCATTTGTCATTTAGATCAAAGAAGATTCTCAAAACTTTTCAGGTGCTGCCACTTGAATAAATAACAATATCACCACACCGCCCCCCCCCCCCCCCCAACCCTACTTTTTTAAAAAGTGATTACAAAGGGAACAAAAATAAAAATCACAATGATCATTAACAAGGTTAGTTGTGTATCCTTTACAGGACGTTGCAGAACCAACCCCAACAGTCCCTGGCTGTTGTGTGGTTTTTCTAGGCAAATTTTCATCCAGTAGTTTGCCATTGCTTTCTGGACGGTCGGCTTTCTTGATACCACTGTCAAAACCTACGCAAGGCGCATGACCCGCAGCTGGAATCAAACACGGCATCCCTGCATTATAAAGTGTTTGCATCGACTAATCCACAGAGCCGACTCATTAACAAGAGCATGAAGAAAAAGATCCACATAAATCAAAGGATCAACACACACAAAATCACACAAAAACAGGTAATACAGTGTCCAAATATCAGTATTATAGTTGACATTGCTTGTGTCTTGATGATGTCTGCTATTTCTGGTCTGATGTTGGACAAGGCACAATGGTTAAGGTATAACAGATTTTTACAAGTACGAATGAACTTAATTTCAAAACTGCTTGGTGCAACCCGTGGAACCTCCTTGTGCCCCCACCTAGGGGGGCACACTGCCCAGCTTGAAAACTACAGATATAGATAAACCACATTCAATTACTTCCTAGGAACATTTGGTTATAATTGGGGTAACATATCAAGCTTTTCTAAGGCTCAAGGGAGACTTTATTGTTTACTGTACAATTACACTCAGATGCATGATGGGCACTTGACAGATGTTCTTTGGTCATGTCATGAGAAGGAGAAAACTAGAGTACATTGTAACGGTACAAAAGTCTGAGAGGAAAAGGGATAGAAGGAGAGTGAGAGAGAGGATGCTGGATGGTTTGACATCATGCAAGAGAAGATCATCTGTGTCAGAACTGATTAAAGGTGCACAAGACAGAAGATTGTTGATAGACATGACTGCCAATATCACAGGGCATGGATAATATTGAGTTAGTCAGCTGACAGATTATCCTCACTACATATCAAATTTTCAGTCTGTAAATGCTCAAATCCCCTCTTCAGCAAATCCCACGGCATGCAGCAGCTGACAACACCAGTCCTGTGATGATTTCTTATTCTTCTTTGGCTTCTTGCATACTGCTTTTGTCTAGCCACACCCCTTTTGACATGCTGTTCTTGCAGTCTGGTCATGGTTGTAAGTTCACAATCATTGCTTGGTTCTCACATACATCTTACTTCTCATACAGCATTGAGTACATGAGCCTCATCTAGCCCTCTGCAATAGCTTTACCTGCAAGCTTGTCAGCTTGCTCATTTCCTTGCATGGCTCATCCAGTCCTCTGCAATAGCTTTACCTGCAAGCTTGTCAGCTTGCTCATTTCCTTGCATGGCTCATCCAGTCCTCTGCAGTAGCTTTACCTGCAAGCTTGTCAGCTTGTTCATTTCCTTGCATGGCTCATCCAGTCCTCTGCAGTAGCTTTACCTGCAAGCTTGTCAGTTTGCTCATTTCCTTGCATGGCTCATCCAGTCCTCTGCAATAGCTTTACCTGCAAGCTTGTCAGTTTGCTCATTTCCTTGCATGGCTCATCCAGTCCTCTGCAGTAGCTTTACCTGCAAGCTTGTCAGCTTGCTCATTTCCTTGCATGGCTCATCCAGTCCTCTACAATAGCTTTACCTGCAAGCTTGTCAGTTTGCTCATTTCCTTGCATGGCTCATCCAGTCCTCTGCAATAGCTTTACCTGCAAGCTTGTCAGTTTGCTCATTTCCTTGCATGGCTCATCCAGTCCTCTGCAGTAGCTTTACCTGCAAGCTTGTCAGCTTGCTCATTTCCTTGCATGGCTCATCCAGTCCTCTGCAATAGCTTTACCTGCAAGCTTGTCAGTTTGCTCATTTCCTTGCATGGCTCATCCAGTCCTCTGCAATAGCTTTACCTGCAAGCTTGTCAGTTTGCTCATTTCCTTGCATGGCTCATCCAGTCCTCTGCAATAGCTTTACCTGCAAGCTTGTCAGTTTGCTCATTTCCTTGCATGGCTCATCCAGTCCTCTGCAATAGCTTTACCTGCAAGCTTGTCAGCTTGCTCATTTCCTTGCATGGCTCATCCAGTCCTCTGCAGTAGCTTTACCTGCAAGCTTGTCAGCTTGCTCATTTCCTTGCATGGCTCATCCAGTCCTCTGCAATAGCTTTACCTGCAAGCTTGTCAGTTTGCTCATTTCCTTGCATGGCTCATCCAGTCCTCTGCAATAGCTTTACCTGCAAGCTTGTCAGTTTGCTCATTTCCTTGCATGGCTCATCCAGTCCTCTGCAATAGCTTTACCTGCAAGCTTGTCAGTTTGCTCATTTCCTTGCATGGCTCATCCAGTCCTCTGCAATAGCTTTACCTGCAAGCTTGTCAGCTTGCTCATTTCCTTGCATGGCTCATCCAGTCCTCTGCAGTAGCTTTACCTGCAAGCTTGTCAGCTTGCTCATTTCCTTGCATGGCTCATCCAGTCCTCTGCAATAGCTTTACCTGCAAGCTTGTCAGTTTGCTCATTTCCTTGCATGGCTCATCCAGTCCTCTGCAATAGCTTTACCTGCAAGCTTGTCAGCTTGCTCATTTCCTTGCATGGCTCATCCAGTCCTCTGCAGTAGCTTTACCTGCAAGCTTGTCAGTTTGCTCATTTCCTTGCATGGCTCATGCTCTGGCCTGAATATGAAAGTGATATTTGTCACTGAAATAATATGCATGGGTAAAGGTCTGTGTCTCCAGCCATGTTATTAATTTGGTCACTGCCACAATTTCCATAGTCAAGGCAACAGCACCAGAATTTTGCTTCACAATTCCAACTCCAACCATCAAGGGCATGGATTATAAGAAGAAGAACAAGAAGAAACAAACAGAAAAAGCAGCACCTACCCCAATCAGCAGACACTGGTTTTCAACGAAAGCTCCGCAGCATCCAGCAAACCCAATGATGAGAATAAGGATGCTGGAGATGACACACAGCGATGATGCACTCAGAAATGTGTGTGTGGGTATAATGGAGACACTTTCTCCTCGTGTGCTCCACAGCCACACAGCCACGGCCAGCACACCACAACCCAGCAGCTAAATGATGAGATCAAAAATCAACAATAGATTCAGCTTCAAACTTCCCAGTAAGGCTATAACAGAGATTAGTATTTATAGAAGATATGAAGTGACATTACTGGCATTGTAGAGATAAGTATTTATAGAATTTATAAAGTCGTACTACTGAGATGGTATGAAAGGAAGTTGGGTGATATTACTGAGATGACAAAGATAAGCATTTGTGGAAGTTATGAAATGATATTACTAGGAGAATAGAAATAAGTATCTATGAGAGATATGAAGAGATACTGCCAGGATAATAGAGACAGTATCGATGAGAGATACGAAATTATATTGCCAGGATAACAGAGATATATATCTATGAGAGATATGAAATGATACTGTCATGATAATAGAGATTTGTATCTATAAGAGATATTGCCAGGATAATAGAGATAAGTATCTATAAAAGATAAGAAATTATATTGCTGGGATAAAAGAGATAAGTATTTAAAAGAGATATGAAGTGATAATACTGGGACTAGAGAGAGAACAGTATTTATAAAAGGTGTGAAGTGATACTACATACTACTGGGACTAGAGAGAGAACAGTATTTTTAGATGGCGTGAAGTGATACTACTGGGACTAGAGAGAGAACAGTATTTTTAGAAGGTGTGAAGTGATACTACTGGGACTAGAGCGATAACAGTATTTATAGAAGGTGTGAAGTGATACTACATACTACTGGGGCTAGAGAGATAACAGTATTTATAGAAGGTGTGAAGTGATACTACAAACTACTGGGACTAGAAAGAGAACAGTATTTAGAAAAGGTGTGAAGTGATACTACTGGGACTAGAGAGATAACAGTATTTATAGAAGGTGTGAATTGATACTACTGGGACTAGAGAGAGAACAGTATTTAGAAAATGTGTGAAGTGATACTACTGGGACTAGAGAGATAACAGTATTTATAGAAGGTGTGAAGTGATACTACTGGGACTAGAGAGAGAACAGTATTTAGAAAAGGTGTGAAGTGATACTACATACTACTGGGGCTAGAGAGATAACAGTATTTATAGAAGGTGTGAATTGATACTACTGGGACTAGAGAGAGAACAGTATTTGGAAAAGGTGTGAAGTGATACCGCTGGACTAGAGAGAGAACAGTATTTATATAAGGTGTGAAATGATACAACTGGGACTAGAGAGATAACAGTATTTATATAAGGTGTGAAGTGATACCACTGGGAGGTGGTACTTACCCAAACAAAAATGTTCCCAACTACAACTTACCCAAACAAAAATGTTAAAGATGAAGAAGATGTACTTGACCACACTAAAACTGGTCTTTTCTCTGCCCATTTCACCTTCTTTCGCAGGAGTCCTAGGAGCTCTACAAGTACACAGAGAGAGAGACAGTGGTCACAATATCACCTGTGACTTCTTTAAAAAATATTTCTAAATCAAACTACTAAACTGCATATTTCTCCCAAGCCAAATATAGAAATCACTTTTCCTCTGTAGACACATGAATGGAGAGTGAATTCTTCTTCTTTTGTCAATATCTCCTTTGTGCCGCTAAGCGTTACAGTTTAACAGGTGATCAACAGCTGAGCCAGGGCACTTGTTAGCTTGGTATGCTGTGACAGGACATCTTCTGTTATCAATGAATCCTTTGATCCATGTTGTTCTAGGCCTCTCTTTGCCTTTTGTTTGCTGCTATGTAAAAGTAGTCAGTTTAAAACAGGGAGATCAACTTCAAACTCGATAACACAAATTCTAAAGGATTGAAAAGTTAAGAATTTGTGTAAATAAATTCCATGTTAACCGGGGACAAACAATAATACATCCTTGCAAGGACCAAACATTTGTTTATGTCAACCGTGTGTTCTTCTTAAGTGAGTTCATATATATGTGTGTGTGTGTGTGTGTGTGTGTGTACATATATATACAACGGAAAGTCAATAAGTAAGTCACAATTGGTTGTTAAAAAAAAAAAATTCAGACGATAACAATTGAAAACTTAATTTTTACACATACACATAATTTCCGCCAACATTGATGCACTTGTCCCATCGTTTTATTAATCCTCACAAACCTGCTGCACAGAATTTCGTGCTCTGTTTTCTAAGCCATATTTTCACTACTGCACCATTCTCAAAATGACTCCCACCAAGTTGGGTTTTCAGTGGACCAAAAAAGTGGAAATCCCTAGGGGTTAAGTCGGGGCTGCAAGGTGGATGTTCCGTTCCAGTAGTTCCCACCCTAGAAGGTTAATTTTCTCTTGAGTTAATCATCTCCTCCGCCCACTAGACGGATGCGTCTGCTGCAATCTCAACAGGACAACCAGATCACTTCATCAAAAATAGTAGATCGTTCTTGAGAAAATTCTTTTACCTAGCTATGTACCAGTTTATAATGGATAAACATTTGTCAGCATAAACAGGAAAGTCCCTTATAGGCAGCCCTTTTGCCAGAAAATAAAAATTATCTGGATAAATTATGGAAAATTACATAATTACATGTCTCATAATTAAACATTGAATTATCAAACACTCACTTCCATTAAAACAGTTAAGCATGGAAAATAAAGCGTGTCAATGCCGTTTTTGAAGCAAAGATTTAAAACAACCCACCCAGACAAAGAAGATATTAATCAACATCATACGAGAAAGGTACCTTATAATGAAGAACTGATCACAAATGTTTCATGTTTAATTAAAAATCGACATCACTGCACTTAGTACATTCCTGTAAATAGTCCATCCACATCTTCAGCAGCAAACCCACAGTTCAAATTCCGATGGTACCAGTCGCAGTCTGACTGTATATCCGTCTCATCCTTCCCCAGAGTGTTGAGTGTCGGCCAGATCCCCTTGGTCACTCCTTACAGCACCTTCTCCTCAGACCATGATGATCCATCACAAATTCTCATTGTGCAGTTATGTCAATCATGATAGCATAACACATAATTTAGATTGCATTCAATTGTTTTGTACATCTAAATAGTAAAAGATGGTGGAGCTGTGATTTTATAGAAAATGATGAGAACACCCTGGACAGATAAAAAAAAGAGTATGAAGTGTCTTGAAGGAAACTGACTCCTGAAGAACCATGACAGACTGACTCCTGAAGAACCCTGATAGAAGGACTCCTGAAGAACCCTGGTAGACTTGACTCCTGAAGAACCCTGATAGACTGACTCCTGAAGCACCCTGATAGACTGACTCCTGAAGAACCCTGGTAGACTGACTCCGGAAGAACCCTGATAGACTGACTCCTGAAGAAAACTGACAGACTGACTCCTGAAGAACCATGATAGAATGACTCCTGAAGAACCCTGATAGACTGACTCTCCTGAAGAACCCTGATAGACTGACTCCTGAAAAACCCTGATAGACTGACTCCTGAAGAACCCTGATAGAATGACTGCATCATGAATATGTGAAAGCTGGAAAGGCACAGAGACAGGAGACCAAGAGAGAAGATGTTGGACAGTTTGACATCATGGCATGGAAGATCTCCTGTCTCAGATAGATTAAAAGTACACACATCAAACAGAAGTTTGTAAATATACATAACTATCATGTGCCACATGACATGGACTTTTGACAGAAGAAAACAGAAATTATGAAGCAATCAACAACACAGAACAAAATTGATTCCACATTAACTATTAAACTTAAAAACCGATAGAATGATATGTTATAAAACTTCAGAAACAATATAGGCATAACTTTAAGATTAAGGATTATTGAATTTAGTAAAACTGGTAACAAGCAAAAAATAAACTATAAATGAATCATCAACCATGCAATTATTTTCAAAACAGTATCTAATAAATAATAATCAGATTGCAGTTAATAATGGAATTACAGAAAGTCCATGGTCATGTAACAGTGCATACAAACTGAGCTAACTGCTAGAACAATGTCAGAATTCACACAACCATTCTGTCAGCTGAAGCTAAAAATGGAAGTGTTAAAATGATCCAACTGTGTAAAAAAAAAATTCACATTCATCTTTGCATTGTAAAGTTCCTATACGGCGGGCGGTTGGTTTAGGAAAAGTCTTTTTTTGTGTGTGTGTGATTACTGGACAATGATGTGAGAATCAGGCAATGCAAGAGATTAGCGACTCACCACGTAATATTCCCGCAAAGACAACAGTGGATGCAGACACCCAAGGCAGCTAACCTCCAGCATGGAGATGGCACCCCAAAAAATGATACTTTCAAGCCTGTTTGTTGTTAGTGCACTGATTACAAGCAATTTACCATTTAGTTTCTTTCGTAATACCGGGTCTAACATTAGTAATACTGGGTCTAACATTAGTAATACTGGGTCTAACATTAAAAATACTGGGTCTAACATTAGTAATACTGGGTCTAACATTAGTAATACTGGGTCTAACATTAAAAATACTGGGTCTAATATTAGTAATGCTGGGTCTAATATTAATAATACTGGGTCTAACATTAAAAATACTGGGTCTAACATTAGTAATACTGGGTCTAACATTAGTAATACTGGGTCTAACATTAGTAATACTGAGTCTAACATTAGTAATACTGGGTCTAACTAGAAATACTGGGTGTAACATTAGTAATACTGGGTCTAACGTTAGTAATACTAGGTCTAACGTTAGAAATACTCGGTGTAACATTAGTATTACTGGGTCTAACGTTAGTAATACTAGGTCTAACGTTAGAAATACTGGGTGTAACATTAGTAATACTGGGTCTAATGTTAGTAATACTAGGTCTAACATTAGTAATACTGGGTCTAACAGTAATACTGGGTCTAACATTAGTAAGACCGGGTGTAACATTAGTAATACTGGGTCTAACATTGGTAATACTGGGTCTAACATTAGAAATACTGGGTCTAATGTTAGTAATACTAGGTCTAACATTAGTAATACTGGGTCTAACAGTAATACTGGGTCTAACATTAGTAATACCGGGTCTAACATTAGTAATACCGGGTCTAACATTAGCAATACTGGGTCTAACATTAGTAATATCAGGTCTAACATCAGTAATACCGGGTCTAACATTAGTAATACCGGGTCTAACATTAGTAATACTAGGTCTAACATTAGTAATACCAAATCTAACATTAGTAATATCGGGTCTAACATTAGTAATGCCGGGTCTAACATTAGTAATACTGGGTCTAACATTAGTAATACCAGGTCTAACATTAGTAAAATCAGGTCTAACACTAGTAATACTAGGTCTAACATTAGTAATACTGGGTCTAACATTAGTAATATTGGGTCTAACATTAGTAATACTGGGTCTAACATTATTAATACTGGGTCTAACATTAGCAATACTGGGTCTAACATTTGTAATACCAGGTCTATCATTTGTAATACCGGGTCTAACATTAGTAATACCAGGTCTAACATTAGCAATACCAAGTCTAACATTAGTAATACCAGGTCTAACATTAGTAATACCAGGTCTAACATCAGTAATACTAGGTCTAACACTAGTAATACCAGGTCTAACATTAGTAATACCAGGTCTAACATTAGTAATACCAGGTCTAACATCAGTAATACTAGGTCTAACACTAGTAATACCAGGTCTAACATTAGTAATACCAGGTCTAACATTAGTAATACCAGGTCTAACACTAGTAAGACTGGGTCTTTCATTTGTAATACTGGGTCTAACATTAGTAATAATGGGTCTAACATTAGTAATACTAGGTCTAACATTAGTAATACCAGGTCTAACATTAGTAATACCAGGTCTAACATTAGTAATACAAGGTCTAACATTAATAATACCGGGTCTAACATTAGTAATACCGGGTCTAACATTAGTAATACCGGGTCTAACATTAGTAATACCGGGTCTAATATTAGTAATACTGGGTCTAACATTAGTAATACCAGGTCTAACATTAGTAATACCGGGTCTAACATTAGTAATACCGGGTCCAACATTAGTAAAATCAGGTCTAACATTAGTAATACCAGGTCTAAAATTAGTAAAATCAGGTCTAACATTAGTAATACTGGGTCTAACATTAGAAATATCAGGTCTAACATTAGTAATACTGAGTCTAACAGTAATACTGGGTCTAACATTAGTAATACTGGGTCTAACATTAGTAAAATCAGGTCTAACATTAGTAATACCAGGTCTAACATTAGTAAAATCAGGTCTAACATTAGTAAAATCAGGTCTAACATTAGTAATACTGGGTCTAACTAGAAATACTGGGTGTAACATTAGTAATACTGGGTCTAACGTTAGTAATACTAGGTCTAACGTTAGAAATACTGGGTGTAACATTAGTAATACTGGGTCTAATGTTAGTAATACTAGGTCTAACATTAGTAAT